CTCTCCATTTTTATAGAAATACTACTACTAAAGATTAATTAAGAGAATAAAATTAAGAGAAAACGTTGGTGTATATTGCTTAAAAATAATTATCTTAACCCTTCTATTATAGTATTTAATTTCTATTCGTGTTTTTCATGAACTATAGAGGGTGCTGCATTTTTACAAAATGGCTACCTTATCCGGGTTGCCTTTAAATAGTAATATAAAATTAATCATATATTACTGTCTGACATAATGATATATGCTGTTTTTAGCTGTTTATTGAGAAATTTTATAGGAGGAGAACAATTATTGCTAGCAGGACACATCATTATGTGGTATCAAAACAAATGAGCGAGATCGTTCTATGCATATTTTGCCCTTTGTGTTAAAAATCATCAGTTTTGACATGTCCTAACAGGTCCAGATTTATAAGTAAAAAGCCATGTAAGTTGTTGCTTAGGGCCTCGACTTTCAAGGGCCTCAAACATTTGTACAAAAAAGAAATTTGAAGTCAAATTTTGTAATAAACACTCTTTTACAAACCAACAATATATACTTTACTTTTTATCTTGTCTAGTATTTCATTAATTTTTTTTCTAAGAATTAACATAAGATCTTTTTAAAAAAATCGATAAAACCAATTTAAAAAAAGATTTATAATGTAATGGATATAAAAATTTAATTAAATTTGTTATAAAACATAAGACTAGTGAAACCTCACATCTTTTTCTTCCAATATCCATATTAAATCAGAGACAGTCTGATTTAATACTTTTCTTTATACTTCTTAAATTGTAAAGGGTCAGTGAGGGGCCTGCCTTGCATAGTTCAGCTTAGGGCTTCGAAATGCTTAAATCCGACCGCGTCCTACACAAAATTACTGGCATTTTAAACTTTAAGAAAATGTGTTTTATAATTGACAGCATAACTTGTTTGTGTAAAGCTGGACAATCAGGAAAATGCCAATTCTTAACAGTCTAATCCACTCTTTCAGAATTCAGAGAAGTCCATAAATATAACCGACTAATTTTCGAATTATCATGTTTTTCATGTAGGAATAGACGAAAACTTATATTGAGCTCCCGCAAGGCTTTTAAATCGCAATTTGGAACGCTTTGCTTTTCCAATTGTTATTCATCTTTACTGCTGATAATACACAAGAATGAATCAATCGACCCTGATAGAATAGTTTTGTTTTTAAACACCAGAGAGCGAGCATCCGGTGAAAAATGCGAACAGGATCGAATCTAGTAAGGTCGAATACTTCCTGGAATTTTTAGGCTACCCGTAATGGACTTGCTAAAAAGGTCCTCTTAGTATATACAGGGCAGAGAGTTTAAAAACAGAAATAACCCTCCCAATCCAAATGATCTTATATCAGGCAAAGTGTCAACGTATGAGCATTGATATTTTAAAACATATTTCGCATGTAATTTCTGGAAATTATATCTAATAAATGTATAGGAGAGGATCTAAAGTTGAAATATATTTTCAAATCAATGTAGTGTAATTCGAATTTAATGTTTGATATTCAGAAATTAAATTCCCTTTGGCAACTTTAATGTTATTTTCTACGAGTGAAATTCAGGCTTTATAGTCTTTCGAAACTGAATTCCCAAGTATAGTTTGTAGGCAAAATCCACAATGAAGTTATCACTGATTTTGTCGACTTGTAATATTCCGCTGACACATATTTTAAAATATCAAACAGATGTCTAGTGAATTGCTAGAGTAGAAAATCTGAGGGTCAGTGGTACCACTCTGGGGGACTGGGATCGAATCCAGATGGGTTGATAAAATTCCCAGGAATTTTTCAAGGGTGGTCCATCCGGATATGTTGGGTCCTATCCTTCATCCGACCGCCCCATTGTGGGCCTGGCTGAACTTATAATGGGCTTGCTAAAAGAGGTCCTCTAGTGCCCACAAGGCAGAAAGTTAAATAAAAAAAAATCCCGAAATGGTAATTCACGGAAACTGAGTATATTCCACAGTAAGATATTAAATAAATATATTACCAAATATCTTAATCTAATTTTTCTGATTTTCAAAAATAATAAAGAGCAATGTGTAGCTAAAACAAAATGGCTGTCTCTAGCAAAAATGAATTCACAGTTGATGATGAAAAAAATTTTTAAATATTTCCTTTTTATCTCATTTTCATTTCGCCTTACAGAAATTTCATATTATAATACTGTATATGCCGGTGAGGTATTGCTAGTTCTAGAGTACAGTTGATAACATCTTACCAACTAGCTCAGCTATAAAAACATATTATTATTTAGTTGAAGTTTACATAACATTTTCCCATAAAAAAATTGTATTACAATGAATAAATCATCACTCATAATTACACATTAAATAAACAGACAGGATATTATAAATTTGTAATGTAGAATTTGTTAAAGCATTGTCATTACTTCCTGGNAATCTGAATCGCACCAGAAAACTGATAAAACACCTGAGGAAAAACCTAGAAGTGGGTTGAAAACATTTGTTATGTTTTAAGTAGTAACTGCAAAGCTATACAAGGTTAGTGCCACGTATTTGTTTATTTTATTATCTGCAATCCCCTGCCCGACCGCATTTAAATCTAGCTGTAGATAAAAGACTAAACTTACCATTTATTGTAAGTATCCATTTAAACTCCAATCAAATAACTCGTAAAAACATTTAGGAACATTAAAAGTTAAGGCTCAAAGTTGAAATTGAAATTAAACATGTGGCCAACCTTTATAAAAGCTCCTGTAGTGAGCTATTCCCGCTCTATGATGATAAATATATTTAATATAATATACTGGTGTAAGTCAAACTACCTGGTTAAATCATGCATATAGCAGGCTTGTCATGCTTCTATATTCTTTGATAAGAATTGAATCTCCACACAGTTAACAGTAATATATCATTAGAAAAAAGTTATTCTTTTACAGATGAAAAAGTTTGGCACTTGTTGCTAAATGTGATAATGAATGTTGCCATAAAGAAGTTTCCATTTTGTTCTTTGGTATAAATATTCTTGTTGTAATGACATTTTTCAAGGAGATTGTCGAAAGACAAAAACCTCTCCATTTTTATAAAAATACTACTACTAAAGATTAATTAAGAGAATAAAATTAAGAGAAAACGTTGGTGTATATTGCTTAAAAATATTTATCTTAACCCTTCTATTATAGTATTTAATTTCTATTTGTGTTTTTCATAAACTATAGAGGGTGCTGCATTTTTACAAAATGGCTACTTTATCTGGGTTGCCTGTAAATAGTAATGTAAAATTAATCATAAATTACTGTCCGACATAATGATATATGCTGCTTTTAGCTGTTTATCAAGAAATTTTATAGGAGGAGAACAATTATTGCTAGCAGGACACATCATTATGTGGTATCAAAACAAATGAGCGAGATCGTTCTATGCATATTTTGCCCTTTGTGTTAAAAAACATCAGCTTTGACATCTGTCCTATCAGGTCCAGATTTACAAGTAAAACGCCATGTAAGTTGTTGCTTAGGGCCTCGACTTTCAAGGGCCTCAAACATTTGTACAAAAAAGAAATTTGAAGTCAAATTTTGTAACAAACACTCTTTTACAAACCAACAATATATACTTTACTTTTTATCTTGTCTAGTATTTCATTAATTTTTTTTCTAATAATTAACATAAGATCTTTTTTAAAAAAATCAATAAAACCAATTTAAAAAAAGATTTTTAATGTAATGGATATAAAAATTTAATTAAATTCGTTATAAAACATAAGACTAGTGAAACCTCACATCTTTTCCTTCCAATATCCATATTAAATCAGAGACAGTCTGATTTAATACTTTTCTTTATATTTCATAAATTGTGAAGGGTCAGTGAGGAGCCTGCCTTGCATAGTTCAGCTTAGGGTTTCGAAATGCTTAAATCCGACCGCGTCCTACACAAAATTACTGGCATTTTAAACTTTAAGAAAATGTGTTTTAAAATTGACAGCATAACTTGTTCACGTAAAGCTGGACAATCAGGAAACTGCCAATTCTTAACAGTCTAATCCACTCTTTCAGAATTCGGAGCTCATAAATATAACCAACCAATTTCCGAATACAGTAAACATGTTTTTCACGTAGGAATACAGGAAAATTTATATTAGGCTCCCATAAGGCTTTTAAATTGCAATTTGGAATGCAACAGAAAGCTTTGCCTTTTCTATTGCTATTCATCCTTACTGCAAGAATGAATAAAACGACCCAGATAGAATAGTTTTAAACACCAAAGGGCGAGTATCCGGAAAAAAATGCAAATAACTACAATGGTTTTATGTAAAGGTTTATCACACAGAGTGCCTAATCTAACACATTTAAAAAATTCTTCAAATAGTGTACAGATGAGGAATAAGAACTTTTTTATTGTATTTCATTTCATCATTAAAAATACAATAGAAAATTTTTTATTCCTCATCCCATTCAATTTTTTATTCCTCAAAGAAAAATGCAACAGAAAAATTTATGGACAGTCCTAAATAGCATTCGATGTCACGTAATTACCTTCCAGTTGGTTCGCGCAAGAGAAATAACAAGTGACTGTATACACAAGCTCAGAGAAAGAACAACAATCTTCAAAGATCATATATTTTTTTTGAACGATATTATCTGCGAAGATCGATGTCCTTTCTTCGAGCTCGTGTATACAGTCACTGGCTATTTCTCTATATATGGAATAGTACCATTAAAACAATATTTTTCAAAGTTCTAGAAGTTTTATAATAATTTTCATTGGTTATAAAAAGCGGTTAAATTCCAGTTACGTGGACTGTCATGGCGGCTCCAGCAAAGAAAAGGAAACAGTGGGGACGCACGCAAGGTCTTACCTTGGGACGCACGTTCTAACCTAACCTAACCTACTCTAATAATTTAATTGGTAATAATTATGGTAATTTATTAGAATAGGTTAGGTTAGGTTAGAACGTGCGTCCCCACTGTTTCCTTTTTTTTTTTTTTTTTTTTTTTTTAGTTTTNAAAGTTCATTTCGTTAGTACTTACCAATAATAATGAAGCGGTAATAAAATATAACACATTGTCTTTTGTCTTGGAACTTGCAGACTATGGGCTGAACTACCTCATCCCGGTGAATACTCTCGGCAAAGCACCCACGTGGTTCTACCGAAACGTCATCCAACATATCCGGGTTGCTGGTTTATGTCGGCCGGGTATTCAGACAGCGACTTCAGCACGCCTAGCGGACTGGAATGAAATTAACAAGATACTAATCCCCTAGTCGTAATATTAGAGAAATTTCATTTACCTAAATAAAGTGTTTAAATATGGTTTACTAGTATGAAATTACGCAAAATAGTCGTTCATTTATTCAATAGAATTATTAATAAAATTGTAAAGTATTACAAAATGCTCTTTCCTAATTTTAAACTCATTTTCCCCATTACCGTTTCATTAAGTTTTTAGCATCCTTAAGGGATTTGAGTCCATAGGTCGTCGTAACACCCACAAATTCCCATTACTTCACGAATAAAGATCCTGGGATTGACAGAATTTAGGAATCAGTGGACTACATTATACTAAATACAATTGTTCTTAATGCTTTCTTATTGTACAAGTACTGTACGTACAGTACTTGTATATATAATTTTCCAAATCGAAAGCATTAAATCTTACATATTGTGCAACGTTTGAGTGTAAAATACATAATAATCTATGCTTATTAAGAAAAATCGTAGCCTATATTTAATATCTTTAAAATAATACATTTTTTACACGTTATTAAATATAGGCTACGATTTTTCGTAATTATGTAGGCATATATTATATAAAATCTTTGAACGCGATGGTAATATTCGACACAAGAGCCGAATACTATTCAACGAATAAAATACAGTTTTTTCATTTTTTTCTATTGAAATTTTCATTAACATTTCATATTGAATTTAGTGAAAATTTTATCGTTATCGTAAAAATGATATCCAATTCGTAGCCATCTTTTTTTACATATTTTATATTCAAACAGTAAGAATAAATAAGAACAACGTTGGTAGGTTATCAAACAATGGATAGTAGTAAGTTAAATCTTTCCATTTAATTATGGAAGCAATTAGGATATAATAGTGAGTGGTCCATACCAAGAAAAGATTAGGATGCTGGACAGCCAAAATACGGTGGCCAAAGGGAATACAGTATCCCCAAGACGAACAATTTAAATGAATACGTAACGAAACGGTTAAAGTACTAGTTCGGCCAGGTGTGCATCCTTTCTTTCGAAGGAAATTCCAACGAAATTCATGAAGAAGAAAGTTCATATAACAGATTAGAATACACAGATGACGACAGATTAAAATTCTTACGTCGAAGTGTCATCATTTCAGTCTTATTATATTAATTCGGTCAGAATAACTTATATTAATTAGTCTTTGAACAGTAATATTTTTAATCGTGTCTCACGTTTGATTTCTACACTTAAAATCGAAGTTACGTGATTTATTTTATCATTATTCGTGCACTATTTTTATTTTTTTCTCGGGATAAATAATAAAGCATTTCTTGGTAAATATAATAACACAGTAGAGAGTACAGTAAGGAGAAACTGAATGACTACTAAAATACATTTAAATGGGAGTTAAATTACAAAAACCCTCGAATGCATGGCCTTACCTTAAAGTATCCTCAAACTTGTCATATAAAATAAGTATTATTCTAAAAGTTCTCTTATCAAATTATAATGCGAAATCAATAAATTCGTCATAATTTGCAATTTTTCCCATATTTGGAAATCAGAAAAGTTAAGAAAATTTATTGTACTATTAAATATCTGAAATATATCATACTCCCTTCTACTGCAAATATACTGCAATATTTTTTTACATAAATTACATAGAGTAAGAAAAAATTCTTATTTGTTTCATTTAGAAGAAAACAAATGAATGCTTTTACAGCTCTATATCAGAAGTTTAATGCTTCCTTTTCTACGAAAGAAACCGCCAAAGTGGTTGCGCTAACTGCTCCCAGTGCTAATAGTACCATTAACATTCTTTAACTTATCTCCCGCCGTCGTGGAGGTAATCGGAAAACTTGTAAACACTCACCTCGAATGTTTGTAGTGTTTAAAACAAGGACAATGAGATGATTTCGCCTTAATATTTTACATTTAATATTACAATTTTCTTTATCTGTACGAATCTAACACTCACCAATAATTGCATAATGATAAGAATTACTTGATTCACTCCGCATTTTAATTATTATTAAATTATATATTAAAGTTATTAGTATGATTAATTACCCCCTCTGCACGACGCATCGCGTATCGGCGTTAGAAGGTGCGCCCCGATACTAACAATTCAAAGTCGAAATTACTTCGAATATTTCAAAACTGAAATGTTATATTTTAACAAATTCGATCCAAAAATTGCTGGAAAACGGAGATAATACCTCAACATTCAAATATAAAATAAATTACAAAACTAACCTTTGATCCGTACCCATTCCTATGTATTCGTACAAACACACACATTAAAAAATCCTACTTGCAATTCCTTGGCTTCTATGTAAGGTCGCCGATCCGGTGGAATAGGGGACTTGTTAATCCCGCATCAGGATGAACCTAAGAGAAGGTTGTGTGTGGTGTGGCGGAGGAGGCAATTGATGACAAAAGAAAAAGCCGTTTATTTGGTCAGAGCCGGCCCTACCATAGGGCAAACGGAGCAGTCGCTCCGGGCGCTAAGTCCTAGGGGGCGCCTCAGTGGTAAAGAAAATTAAAGGGTATAAAATTAGGGGCAACCAAGGGGGGCGCCATAATAGGATCTCGCTCCATCCTAAAACTTGCCTCGGGCCGGCACTGTATTTGGTAACATTGATGCTTACATCAATAATTGACAGTTCAGTTCCACTTTTCCGTCCTTCGGGATGGCGAGGATTTTCCTTTCCGTCGATGCTCCGGGACGGACGAGATGGGATCGGAGAGTCGCGAGACGTCTTGGGTGACCACACAATTCACTATCTAAAACACACGGCGAGCTTAATCCAGAGGAGACTGTCCTTCGACCTTGAAATTCCTATTTTTATAATTTTTCTCCCGCTGTTCGCATTTCGGATTGGTCCCTCGTCCCATTCCTCGCTTCTCGATTGGTCTGCTTTGTCTCCAGGTGCAAGATGAAACCTCTTCGGGTTGCGGGAAAGGTCCCATTCGAGGTGTCCATTTGATACCTCTTTATCGACTCTGCTCGGTGATTGTGTATAAAACAATAACATCTGCACTCATAATTCAGGTTGTTGTTTATACCCTTTTTTGACACCTGAGAATTTTAATGATCATTTTCTTAAATCTAAAACTAAATTCAAATGGTTTAAAAATTATTATTTTCTTTTAATAATTAATAATGTGTGGGTTTTAATTTTCGCACACTTTAAATCCCCCATTTTAAAACGCAATCCAACGCGAACCAGGCTATGGCTAGCGACGCGACACGCGATGCGTCGTGAGGAGTTTGAACTTAAAAGTACCGAAATAAATATTTAAGAATAAATGATAATTTGATAAATAACTAAAAATACTATTCTGCTTTTATTGTGTGGCTACATGCCATATTTTATCATATATTTCGTATATAATTGTGTCATTTTATCTTGTATACTTCCCGCTTCACATCTGTCTGTCCTATTTGTTTACCCTTCCTGGAATGTTCTCGTTTTTCTTTTCCCTGGCGTGGGTATGCGGGTGGGCTAACCCGAGAAGCAACGAAAGAAATGTAGCTCGGAGGGGAGGGAGCGATCGGGAGACTCTGAGGGGAGAACTGGAGGAAGGGAGAAAAATGAGGGGAGACGGGTAGAAAGGAAGAGAAGGAAGAGGAGCTAAAAGAAAAGTCTCCCCGGCAAGTATAGCGTGTGAGGGTGAGAAAGAGAACTTTGGAACGTGAAGAGCGAAAGTACGTCTCCCCGGAAGGTTTTGCATCGTAGTGTGAAAAGGAGATCTGTGGAACGTAGAAGAAAAAGGAACTCAACCGAAGGGAGCCAGAAGGATCATCCCTTTGGATTAACTTCTCTACGTGAAACAAGGAACAGAGCTAACCAGCCCCCCGATCAACGAGGAACCGCATCCGTCAAGTTTTGGGTACCCTCTTTCCTTATTCTTTACTTTCATCTTCTAAATCTTCGAGTAAGCCGGCTATATAAAATAAGTTTAAGTAGTAGTAGAAATATAGTATTAATTAAGATAGTTTTAAGTGATCGGTAAGGAACGACGCGCGTGCAATCTTTGTCGGGTTAATGAATTATGTGGAGTATCCGTGGGGTTAGCATAGTGGTATCCTGAGAACCTGTATCCTAAAAAGCGAGTAAATAAAAATTAATTGTGTTTCATTTAACTAATCTGGATTGTGCGTTTTTATCCTGCTCGCAGTTTTAACAATTGATTTTAATTGATTCTCAGTTATCTGAAGAAATAGAAATAAAAAGAAGAATAAGGCAGGGATGTATTTTATCACCTTTAAATATTTACTCAGATGAAATTTTTAAAGAAGCTTTAGAAGATATAGAACACATTGGGATTGTAATAAATGGGATGAATGTAAATAATATACGTTATGCTGACGATACAGTGGTTTTACCAGAGAAATATAAATGATTTGACAATGAGATAACAAATGATGAAGTTTTGGAAAGAATGGGAAAAGAAAAAGAAGTTTTAAATACAGTTAAAAGAAGAAAGACGGAGTATTTTGGTCACACCATCCGAGGAAGTAAATATGAAATTTTGAGAGATATTTCGGAGGGAAAAATCTGTAGAAAGAAAGGCCCAACAAGGAGAAGGAAAAGTTGGTAGGTAATACAGTATATGTGAATGGAAAAATAAGAAAGCAGAAGAACTCACACGTGAAGCACAATTGACATTGTTATAATAATACTAATCCTACATTCAGAAATGAATATGGAACCAGAAGCCTAATCTCTTTATTTCTACACCAATAATTTATTTTAATCGGGACATTTCGTATAGTTTGTTGTATCTGACTAGTGTTTATCATCTATATCAGGAGTGGTCAATTTTTGTGTACATAAAATCTACTTTTTATCTTAAAAATTTGGTTGCGATCGACTTGTTGTCATAAGTAGGCATAGTCTAACTGTAAGTGGAGAGGGGGAAGTGTGAAATACATACTATACTATGTTTAGATAGGTAAGAAAAGCCACAATTTAATTTAAAACATGAAGAAAAAGTACTTACATTTTAAACAGAAGAAAAATTGAAACTCAACGTTATCACTTTCGGGGACCACCATATCACCCTTCTTCTCTCTACCGTATCCCGACGTACTCTCGCTGTCCCTCTTCCCGTCTTTCTTTTTTTCGGTTTTACGACCCTTTTTCTACATTTCTTATTCCCCTTTTACAACTGTATGTAAATGGATTGCGCATGAACCGACAAAACCGCATCTGAGGGAGGACGCGGAGCATGGGCGTAGCGAGGGGGGAGCCTGGGTGGGCACGGCCCCTCCCAGGGAACCTGGTGCCCTCCCCAGGAAATCACAGCCGAAAAAGTGTTGAGTCGATTTGTGAAAACCTAAAGCTAAAATAAAAGTTTTGAATACTAAAAAAAGGTGAACGGCTTGCTCGGTGCCCAATAATGAACAATAATTTGAAATAATTCAATTTTGTGTCAGGTTGGCCTCCACTAGGCTCCCCATAACAAAACTCTGGCTACGCCCATGACGCGGAGGTCCGATATCACTACAGTTGCGTTTGCGCATTACGTTCACGCGTTGCGTTCGGTTACAGGTGTAACACATTAAGTCAAGACATCGCGAGCGATCGACCAAAATTGGCTTCGCGATCGATTTGTTGGCCACCCTTGATCTATATCAGTGGTTCTCAAAGTGAGCGATACCGCCCCCTAGTAGGCCAAGTAAATCTAGAAAAGACGAAAGAAACCAAAAGGAGGAGCATAACCGAATGGTGACCATAGGCGAGGGTTCGGGTCACTGACTTTCCCCTTTCCTTCGTTAAAACTGGTAAGAAACATTGCATTTAATGGTTTCCAGATGTAAAGAACAATGTACGGTAAGGACGCGAAGTGTGATGGTTGTAGTAAAGCTTTTCTAAGAATACTTCAAAACCGTTCTCACACACAGGAAAATGTGTTGGGTATAAGTTTATGGAATCAAGAGGGTGGTGGCTCAAAAATGACTGAGAATCACTGATCTATATTTTCGAACCTATTTGTAAGTCCTTTCTTGCAGGAAGCCACACTCAACCAACAGCTATTTGTTTACATGCAAATTGGGCTCACTATTTGACCCCTCGTCAATCCCATTTTTTATACTTTTGTCTTCTCTAAAATCATCGTGTCTAACACTATAACGAACACCAATAAAAACATAAACATAGGTTCCATGCATTTTAACTCTAAAGGGCTGTCCATAAAATACGTAAGTACTTTTCTTGAAACTTTTACCTCCCTTCCCCCCTCTTGTCCCAGTTTGTCCAAGTTTCCGTAACCCCTCTCCTCTTCGGACGTCCAACAAACTCGACCTCCCCTTAAAACCTTTATCGCTTTACGAATGATAGATACAGTATTACAAGCAGAAACAAAACATATAAGAAACTTTGAATATAATAAAATGCATAAACTGTATAAAATTGAATGAAATAAACCGGTCGTCCACCGAAGATCAACCCTCCCTCCCTTTGAAATCTTATCTAATGGTATTCAAAATAAGTAAACAATATTTCTGTTTTATTTAAAACTATCCGCGTGTGCCCGGCGTTGCTCTGGCTTTTCAGAGGTGATAACTTTTAGAGTAGGGTTGGAAAATGGTTATAAAAACAACTCTCTTAGCAAATACTTCTTAGTACGGTTAGTAGTTTACAATGATATAACTGCAAAACAAAAATTTAATCGGGCTTAAGTCAAGATGGTGGGGCTCCTCGTATCCTTCAGATTTCGGGATATTATACCATTTTCACTCGATTCCGTTTCGATTGGTGCGAAACGGTGGTCTCCCGTAACTCTATCGGTTGCTAGGATCTCGATTTGGGTGGCGGGAATGTCGAATACTCTGCTCTCCCCCAGGGTAGGGTCACGCTCCTTCACCAGCGATCGTCCCGTAAATTACCGACAATGCGTTTTCTTTTGTCTCGGAGAAAATGCAGCTGAGTTCGTACTGTCCCCCTCCGTAGGTCACCTTACACAGGGTTCGGCTTTGAACTCTGTGTAAAGTGACCACCAAAACTGTCGTTCTCCTTATCTCCCTCATGATCTACGACAGGAAATGTGACAATTAAATCGCATCACACCCTGTTTCTTCGCGTGGTCCCGATTCAGTTTACAAAAATAAGTCACCGGTTGTCTCTGGTTTTCGACAGCTCGTATCCCGTCGGAGGGTGAAGTTCCGGCCTCACATAATATTTAAAATTATGTTAATATGTTTAGTTTATTATTTTAATAAACAATAACGTTTAAAATAGTAGTTTCTTGATCAATTATTGCATTACCAGTTTCATAATTTAATCAGGATTTTTTTCAAATTGCAATATTTCGCGCCTGGAAACGATTTGTTTCTTATTTTATCATAAATGTACCACTCCTTAAGATAAAATTTTTACCTAGAATCGTACTATAATTGTTTTCTTAAATTAATTTATCAAAAATCCATTCATTTATTACGCTGGCTAGTCCGTAAAATTCATCGGCAATCAAAAGAAAAAAAAATTAGATTTCAAAGCCGGTTCGAATAGAAGTCAGTTATCTAGGTCAGTTGTCCTCAACCTTTCTCACCTCACGGACCAGCAAACTCACAGTTTCGATTTGCACGGACCAAATTTTTAACGATACAAACACGTATAGAATGATCACAAACGTTTCATTTTATTTTACTTTATTAATAGGAAATCCACTTGTCAAATTTTAACAGATGAGTGTGAAGTTTGTTGCTGCTTCGAAACAAGTTACCAAAGACGACAATCCCACT